GACGATGCTACTCCACAACACCGAGCGCATGCTGGATGCCTACGGCGTCTACGGCGCGGCGAACTCGACGCACATGGTCGACTACTCGGTCAACGTGACCGAGGCCGACACGTTCGAGTACGTGTGGATGACGACCAAGCACGTCGACATGTCGTTGGAGCACGCGCGCGACCTCATTCGCATGTGGCTCCACCAGTACACGACCGGCGGTATGTGGCGAAAAGCCTCGTCGACGCTCCTGGACGTCGAGGTCATGTCCCTATCTTCCTTACCTCCTCCTGCGTTGGTTGTTGGCTGACATGGCTTAATGTAGCTCCTCTCGTCGCTGCCACGGACCACGTACTGCGAGACGAACAAGCTCGGGCCAGACGAGATGGTGCGCTTCCTCAGTCGCGAGTTTCGCAGCGAGCACAAGAGCGTCCATGTCGGTCAGAACATCCACGCGGACGAACGCAGGCCGATGCCGACGACGTTCCGCAACCGCGCCTTTTGGTCGACTTGATTTTTGCGTCGAAGAGAGGACGCGAACATGGTGTAGGTATGTCTTGGACCGCGCGGGACCGAAGGCGACCAAGGTGCAGATGCTGCACGTGACGTCCCATTTGCTCTCGCCGGCAGCCGAGCCGCTCGGGCTACTCCAAGAAGGCGCGCTCATGGGCTGCGACCTCTCGATGGTGCACGAAGTCGACCAGCTCGAGAAGCTCACGCACCACGCCAACCGCGCTGCTGCCAAGGAAGTCGAAGGTCTCGCGGCGTCGTTTGGACATGGCGCCAAAATGTTTGGCTACACGGGCGCGTTCCGGTAGCCCAAACCGTAAAGAGATCCTAGACGAGGGATGGTTGTTTCTTTGGATATCTGGAGCATGCAGGATAGGAGGAGTCGAGTCGTTGTTTGGATAGAACCAGGTATCCAAATCGGATTGGCACCTCCAACGCGCAATGTAGGAGCACGCGAAGGCGGGTTGTCGCTGAGGGATGTCGACGAACCATAGTACAAGAAAGAACACTCGACCATCGATCCAAATAATATCCATAGATGACGACAACTTTTCCACGCGCTCCGAAGGACAACTTGTCCGTTCTCACGCAAACGT